ACGAGCTAAATAACGGGACTCACACCAGAGTTTCTCAGATGGGCAGGACTCATACCAGAGTTTCTCAGCATAGCAGGACTCACACCAGCCTTTCTCAGCATAGCAGGACTCACACCAGCGTTCCTGCGCAAGGCAGGACTCATACCAGCGTTCCTAAGCATAGCAGGACTCACACCAACGTTCCTGAGCATAGCAGGACTCATACCAAAGTTCCTCAGCAGGGCAGAACTCACACCAACGTTCCTCAGCAAGGCAGGACTCATACCAATGTTCCTGAGCAGTTCAGAAGGCATACATGTGTACCAACGTTTCTGAGGAGGCCAGGACTCGTACCAAAGTTCCCCATCAAAGATTACCTAATCTGGCATCTTGTGTTCCTCCCTGAAGGTCACAGACCCGCAGAAGGGACAGAGTTCCCGCCAAGGTCGCGCTAATTTAATTCCCCGGTTATTGGATTGGCTCGTCCCAAATTTTGTGGTTTGCAGAAGAAAAGAAACGACTCCCCAGATGATTCTGACAGCAGCGGCTATTTACAGTTACGGTTATTAACGGTGACGGGCCACAGCAATATATAACTATAATTGTATTTATAACTCATAAATTTCAGCAAGACATAAACAGAAGGCTGAAAGAAAAACTTGAATCTGAATATATTTTCTCCCTGAAACTTAGGTACAGACTTTCCCCTCTGGTAAAATAAATATTTTCTTGTTAATTTCCAAGTTCAGCATTATTTTTGAATCCCCAAATTGACAGTGCATTTTTTAATTAAGCTTGAAGGGAAGGAACATCCTGTATATGTCTGAAAGTTTTCAGTGATTTCAATTTCTTCAGTTGTGTGTTGCTGTTGCTGAAAGTCTGTAGTGTATAATTGTGATCAGTTCTGACCATGAGTCTCCACTATAAGAATCTCCGTCTAGCCAGCTCCTTAAGCTGCTCTAAAACTGAAGAACCCTTCAGGTGCGGGATAACTCATCGTTATTGTCTTGACCTTGAATCTGCCGTCTTCCCATCCGTCTTGGAGAAACCCGTTCATCCCCCATCAGCGGTGAAACGCTCCGAGTCAGTTTAAGCCGTCGGTCAATTCCGGCTGATGCATGAACTTGTCAGGGCTCGAAATTCATTTTTTGGGAATAGGTGCACTGGTGCACCCAACTTAAAGAACTGAGTGCACAAAAAATTGTTTGGGTGCACCATATAAGATTTTAGCAAAAACTAATGACGTTTCATTTATAAAGAAAAATACTACAAAGATTTTCTTTTTTTTCTGACACTTGGATGTCAACAATATGCTGTATAATACTACAGTAACTATAGAATATTATACATTTAACATCTTTACATATGTAAACCTACTGCACCAGTGCACCCACAGAAAGGAATTGGGTGCACAGCTCAAATTTTGAGTGCATTAAGCTGCACATGCACCCAGTATTTCCAGCCCTGAACTTGTGTGTAGACAGTGATCGTCAGACAGGTAGGTTGGGCTGGATTAGTGCGCTGAGCTCCAGGCGGCTTTACGGACTTAACCTTGACACTATGTCAATGCCGAGTCGACTGTGAGACGCACAGACGCGCGTTCCGTTGAAGGTCAAACGCGCGTGGAAAGGACAAAGGAACGAGGCTGGGTATTAGCCGGGCCTGACCTGTGTTCGGTGTGAGATGCCCTTTTAAAGGTTAAACAGCTACTCTGGTGGAGACTGGATTATCTTTAAGGCAACTGAGTTTATAAATCTGTAGTAGTTGTCGAGGACAACCCTATTATGTAATGCAGGGTGGTGTTAAAGTGATATGGCTGTGGTATAAATGATATGGCTGTATGATAGTATATGGTGTGTGTATAACTGATATTATGGCTGTATGATAGTATATGTTGTGTGTATAACTAATATGGCTGTATGATGTGTGTATGAATGATATGGCTATGTTTGGGTTAACAGGGCTCGAAATACTGGGTGTATGTGCACCTTAGTGCACCCAAATTTAGCTAACTCGAGATCTAATGACAATGTTGGTACTGTACTTGGTGACAGCGAGTTCTACTCTGCGATAGTTCTAGGAAAGAATGAATTCGTGAACACCTCAATCCTTGGTTGATAACTCTGGTACTGTCATGTATATATGATAGGAATAAACCTACAGTACTGTAAGCTTGGAAAGTAAAACACCCTCTTTCTAAGCAGCTTGTAGAAAGAAGCTTTTCATCCAGAGAGGATTACTTTTAATGAGAAGATTTGTGGCAAGATGAGTTCAACAAAACCTTGCAAGTAGCAGAATGTTGTAAGGATGTGATTGGTCAGGTAGGTTTGATTGACAGCTATGATTGACAGCAGAGATGGATAGCATTCGAATGGGGTTGAGATGAGCTGTGATTGGTCAGGTACGTTTGATTGACAGCTATGATTGACAACTATGAGTGACAGCTTTCTGAGCCTCCGCATTATGTCCCAAAAGAGCTTGTAAAAAAAATGGCTGCTGCTATAAGATTGGTAAAATAGCCTACTACAACCCCCCCCCCCCAGTAAACTCCCATCTCTTGTGCCCCCACTTCAAACTTTCTTAGCCAGGTCACATTTTCCTACTACTAGCGAAGAAGATCCTTTACTCCATCTCTCAGGAGAAAGTTCCAAGCTTCTTTCCTAGAACTACATCACTATGGAACAAGCTTCCCAAATGGGTACAAACATCTATCTCTACAGTTCCTTAATGTAACCCAAAACATGTAACTGGTTCGCATGAGCCTTGTTTTGAGGTGAAAATTGATCTAAATAACATAGAAAATGTCCAGAAGAAATTCAGCCGACCCTCTAACCCCCCTCTGCTACTCTGTATCCACCGGTTCATCCCTGAAACCTTTAGGCCCATAATTGAGCGCTCAGCAGAGGTTCTTAACTTCCCACTTCATTTCGGGGCGCTATTACGGCCTGATCCGGGTTAAGCGCCCAGCCAAACGCTGCTATTCATTCTGGAACCCGCCCAAGAACATCTTACTCTTACATGTACATCTTTGGCTTCTTCAAGGAAGCCCAGTCTGTCTTAAGACATCCCAAGTTCATCCTGGATCCCACCCAAGAATATCTTAATTAAGTCTTCAAATCGGTCTCAAGACTTCTCAGTCTTTTTCAAGACTTCCCAACCCATCCTGGATCCCACCCAACCACATCGTAAGTCGTAAGGATGTCTTCAAGGAAGCCTAGTTTGTCTCGAGACTTCCCAACCCAAGAACATCTTACTCTTACTGACTTGCATCTTAGGATGTCTTCAAATCTGTCTTAAGACTTCCCAGTTCATCCTGGAAGGCGCCCAAGTACATTTTATTCTTAAATCTTGATGTCTATAACTTCAAATCACAGTACTAGTCTGTCTCAAGACTTCCCAACCCAAGCACATCTTATTCTTACATCTTAGGGTGTCTTCAAATCTGTCTTAAGGCTTCCCAGTCTTCTTCAAGACTTCTCAGTTCATCCTGGATCCCATCTTACATCTTAGGATGTCTTTGAGGAAGTCCAGTCTGTCTCAAGACTTTCTAGTATCCCTCAAGACTTTATTTATTTATTTATTGGTTTGGCTGTTCAACCCTCACAGCCAGGGCAGCCCAACTAGCCAGTGGCTATTACAAAGGGCTTGTCCTGCTGACAAGACATTACGGAAACATATAAGATGGCTTAACAATCTACAAAACTCAAGACTTCCCAATTTGCCTGGTTTTCTGCTATAACGGGGGCTTCTATAAGGAGTTGAAAGATTGCATTGCTTTTTAGTTAGGAAAGTCCTTACCTAGAACTACCATCATATCTCTGTATATGTAGTTGTAGACTGTTTAAAGTTAAAACTTTTGGTCCAACACAAAAAATTCTCTCACCTAGAGCTTTCGACCAGTCACTCTGGTCTTCCTCAGTAGACTGACCCAGTGAAGCTTGTCACGTGGCTTCTTTGAAGTGTGACGTCAACACTGGGTCAGTCTACTGAGGAAGACCAGAGTGACTGGTCGAAAGCTCTAGGTGAGAGAATTTTTTGTGTTGGATCGAAAGTTTTATCTCTAAACATATAACTACCGACACAGATGAACTTTCATGCTAGTTGTAGACTGGTTTAATAGTTCTTATCAGCCCAAAGACATACATGCCTCCTGGCAGCCATATTGGAGGGCTGAATTCTGAGGCTATTTACAGATTCTGAATTCTGAGGCTATTTACAGTCTTTATGATTATACATTAACAGTTGTCATCATTTACCAAAAACAGTAAAACTCACTTATTTAACTTTAAAAATTCTGAAATCTATTACATTCAGAGGTAATATATTACAATTTAATGTTATTTTTGACTGGGTAGATGTTAAATCACTAAGAATGTTGGAGTCCGCTTTGAAAATTAAACTATCCATTTCATCTGTTCCTGCCATTCCTGCATTAACTACTTATCTACTTAGCCTTCTGTTGCAGCAGAGTTTAAGATAGGATCTTAAGTGTACATTTGTGTTTATATAAGTTTTTTTTTTCTCAGGTGGATTATAAGAAAACTTGAGATATCTTGTGTATTTATCTTTGATGGAATTTAAGAAATCTTGTTCTGCCAGGGAGAGTGTAAAAAAATATAAGTGATAAGAAAACATCTTGTAAGAAAATTTGTCTTGTAAGACACGTTAAGGTGTGTTGTTTGTTCCTTCAGGTGGAGTGTAAGTCTTGAGACATGTTGTTGTTCCTTCAGGTGTAAGAAAACCCTAAGACGTCTTATTTTGTTCCTCCAGGTGGAGTGTAGACTTGAGACATGTTTTTAAGATGTCTTATTTTGTTCCTCAGGTGGAGTGTAAGACTTGAGACGTTGTAGGATACCTTAAGACATGTCGTTTGTTCCTTCAGGTGTAAGAAAACCCTAAGACGTAAGAAAACCCTAAGACGTCTTATTTTGTTCCTCAGGTGGAGTGTAAGACTTAAAGACATATAAGTTGTACCTTAGACATTTTGCTTGTTCCTAAGACGTCTTATTTTGTTCCTTCAGGTGGAGTGTAAGAAGGCTCAGCCGAAGGAGGTGATGTTCCCGCCGGGGTCGGCTCGCGGCCGTGCCAGGGGAGCCTTCGGAACCTGGCCGGATCTCGGTGAGAGTGGGTTTCTCTTCCTCCTTCTTTCCTGCACACACTCGCAGACAGACACACGCACACACATGCAGACAGACACACACACATGCACGCAAACACGCAGACGGACACACACATGCACGCACACACACAGACACGCAAACATGCAGACGGACACACACACGCAGATGGACCCACGCAAACAGACACACAAACGCGCAGACGGACACACACATGCACGCACACAGACACACGCGCATGCAGACACAAGCACACACACACATGCACACGCAGACACACACACACACAGGCAGACACACATACACAAAAAACTCACAGACGGACACACACACATGCACACAGACACAGGCAGACGGACACACACTTACACACACACACTCACACACACAGACGCACACAAACACACACACACACACACTCACACTTTACTATCTGTGTTTATAAGACGGGTGATCTGGAAAATGGTTTATAAGACCAGAGATTTAGAGTAAGACTCCTGCATGTCTACCAGTATGTGTAAGGAAGGCAGCCGGGGTGTCTATCTAAGTCTATCTAAATGGTAATTGGTAAAGAGGCTTCCCCCGAAGCACGACTGTTTTGACTGGCATCTTTAAGTGGCCGGCTTTCCCGGGACGACTCCTTACAGACACGCCGCCTCCTTAGGTCTGCGGGGATCTCCTTAGGTACCACACTTGACCTTGGGTTAACCTTCACGCTGTACTTGTGCCGTGTTATTCCTGGGGAAGCCGGGAAGTAAACATTGTCTGCGGGTCTGCGTCAACATCGGGGATTAACCGGCGGAGTTGTTTGGGCGTTCTGATTTTTGACAGGCACGCTGACTGTTAGAGAAGTAATGTTGTAGAGAGGTCAAAGAAATGCCATGGAAAAAACTGTCCTTCTTGGTAGATTATTTTATTAGTCAGGATGAAATGTCCTTGTAGCGGTTAAACCGGGGAGTTGTTTGGGGGTTCTGATTTTGAACAGCATGTCCGCTGTAACTAAGAGAGGTCAAAGAACTGGCAGTAGCCATGGAAAAAACTGTTCTTCTTTGATTTGTTTAAGCTATGTGCATCAGGAAAAAAACTGTCCTAAAATTTGAGAGAATTGCCAGTAGCCATGGATAAAACTGTTCTTGATTTTCTTTCATTAGTCAGGATAATTCAGGATAAAATTGAAGATCCAACGATTGCTGTCAGCCATGTGCAGAAGGAAAAAAACTGTCCTCATAAAATAATGTGGTAGAACTGTCATTTAGGTCATTATCAATGTGCAAGAAGAAAAAAACGATCTATGTTTCGTTGTTTCTCCAAGTTCATGTCAAGTCCAAATGGTGGACATTAATTAGGCAAGACATCGCCCCCCTCCCCCATTAACCTTGGGTGTAATTTGTCTGCCCCTACATGACCTTGGCATAACAAATGTCACCCCAAACAAATTGGGTCCTGCCGGCAGATATCAGGTTCCCTCAGGAGCTATCAGGTTACCACAGGAGCTATCAGGTTACCCGGACATCATCATGGGTTTTACTCCAGTCTCATCACCGAACGACCTTCGTCTGACCTTCACAGAACGTCTTTACGACTTGAGAAGCGGGACTTGGCGTCGCTACTTGGCTCCTTGACTCCGAACTTAACGTTTTAGCAGCATAACGAGCAGCCCAATTTCACCCTGATACTCAAATCTGTAGGGGCATTGTAAGGGGGGGGCAATATGGAATATTCTCGGAGATGGGCTGATATGGAGTATAGTAATAGATATGGGAAATATATGGCCTCCTATGTATTGTGATATGGGGGATAAATGTATACATATATGGCCTCACATGTATGGTGATATGGTGATACAGTACACATATATATGGCCCATGATAAGCCTAACCTGATATGGGAAATACATGGCCTCCTATGTATGGTGATATGGTGGATTATGTACACGTATATGGCCTCACATGCGTACTGACTGATAGTGATATGGGGATATATATGTAAAAAAAGTCACATTTGTATGGCCTCCCCTGATATGGGAAATATATAGCCTCCTATGCATGGTGATATGGGGGATACATGTACACATATATGGCCTCCTATGTATGCGTATGGGGATACATTACATATATATGGCCTCCCATGATAATCCTAACCTGATATGGGAAATATATGGCCTCCTATGTATGGTGATATGGGGGATATGGAGAATACAGTACATATATATGGCCTCCCATGATAATCCTAAGCTGATATGGGAAATATATGGCCTGGAAGCGCCATTTAGAAGCCAAGCTGCTTCTCTTAATCACCCAAATATGATGCCAAATCCTTTCGGAGTGCCGGCTCCAATATTAGGTGGTTTCTGCCACAGATTTGGTGTTAATAAAGTTATGGTGCCGCGACTTCGCTGATGGAATTAACGTTCCCTTTCTGCAGTAATGCCGTTATAAACATGCCATATGGCCGGAGTTTCACTCTAAATCAGATCTCGCTTCTAACTGGTGTTCTCACAGGCTTGGGAAAATTTATGGATAACGTTAGAGTTATGTATTCGCGGGTATTAATTATGAAAAATTATTAATTGTAATGGCTGGAATTTCACTCTAAATCCGATTCTTGTTCTAACCAGTGTTGTCACAGGCTAGGAAAAAATATGGGGAACGTTGGTGTTACGTATTCGCAGGTATTAATTAATGTGGGCTTGTTAACGAGGAATTTTTAATTGGCCGAAATTTCACTCCAAATTAGGAAAAATTATACGTAACGTTGTATTCGCAGGTATTAATTAACGTTGAGTTGCTAATTAAAAATTATTAATTGGTATGGCCGGAATTTCACTGGGCAACGTTGATGTTACGTATTTGCAGGTATTAATTAATGTGGGCTTGTTAACGAGGAAATTGGCCAGAATTTCACTCCAAATTAGGTCCTCCTTCTAACCAGTGTTGTCGCAGGCTTGGGAAAATTATGGACAACATTAGCGTTACGTATTCGCAGGTATTAATTAACGTCGTGTCCCTAACAAGGAATTATTAATTGTTATTCAGGAGGCTTAGCCGCAGTGGGTTATATTTAATGTTTTCGCCTTGTCTGGGTAATAATGATTATGAATATGATTATGTTCCCACACAAAACAAGCCGTGTGAGATACAGATGATCACATCCATACATCAACATGATAAATTGCATCTAAAATGTCAATAACACTGATGTAATTAGATGTCAGGATTTGATTATATTATGGTCGGTACAGCCCTGTTCCCTACATCAATTATCTTGGTTCTCAAGCTTCGTTTTTTGTTGATTTTTTTTTATATGCGGAGAAAAAAGTATCCCTTACAAATTTACCTGTTAGTAGTGTTACTGAGATTATATTAATTTTTTTTAATGGGCCTGGCTAGATAACAGATTTCAGGCTTTGATTATATTTTGTTCAGTACAAAATTGTTCTGTACATCAATTATTATCCTGATTCTCAAGCTTTTGAGTTTTTTGTTGATTTATTAATTTTTTCTATGTTGGGAAAAAATCATCCCTTACAAATTTTTTGTATCTGAGATTTTTTATGCCTATTTTTTATTAATGTAGCTGGCTGGAAAACATCAATTATCCTGATTTTTCAAGGTTTGGTTTGGTTGATTTTTTTCTTGGCAGGCAAAATTATTCATTTTGTATCTTTCTTTCCTGTTTCTGAGATTTTTTATGCCTCTTTTTTTTTTTATTGTGGCTGGCTGGAAACAAGATGGCCGCCGCGTCAGTCTAGTGTGTAAATAAGTAATGATGTTTCGGCTGTCGCCAGACGCAGATTGAGTTTGGTCCGTATCGGAGAGATCTGCCGTCGCGTGACGTCAG